AACTATGAGTAATCGCGGCTGGATTCCAGGATACAGTGGGTCCTGTAGGCCTTTTCACGCTTTCTTCTTCAACACCCTGCCCTTTTTTATCCTTGAGAGCATCATCTGATGCTGAAGTTGCCTTGCTCTTATCTGATTCAACACCCTTTTTGTCTGTCTCTCCCACTGGATCTACAGTGAGTGAGCTCAACTCAACAAACTCGTCAAACTTGAGAAATTCCCTGGATGTGGGTCTCACAAAATGATCTCTGGATAAGCTATAGTTCTCTAATTGAATGCTGAATAATGACTCAGTGGACGGATAACTCCAATCCTTTTTACTTCTTCTTGCAAAGGCAACAGAGGGAATCTTATAAGAATCTCTCCTACTCTGTCCATCACTTGGATAGGCGGGGATTGCATCGATGTCGTTTCATGTGTGACACTAAATACTTGAGATGTTAACGTTAGACTTGCATCTCCATTCTGACATTCTGCTAATTTGTAAGAACTGTTACCAGAAACATGATGTTTATCTTGAAGTGATTGCATAGAATTCTCCTCAGGCTTAGGTCCTGATCTGGTCTTTGGTACATTTAAAGCCACTTGAAACTGTTCCCCTGTAGATGAAGACAATGAAGAGGCTGTTGAACTCTGATTTTCTTCTGAATTGAGTATATTGCCATCCGTCTCTTGAATTACTTCTGATTGTTTACTGCTATCACTTTGTTTTTCAAAATTATTATTGTTTCCCCATACCTTGACAACCTCAGGATTAATCTCAAAATGGTTAGTTTCAATCCCTGCAACCCCATTTATAACCACCTAATAAGTATCTGATTGGTTACTGCTTCCGGTTTCGACATCAAGTTCTACATACTTTGCTAAATGCAAAAAGCTTCTACTAACCTCACTTGAAAGTTGAAAGCTCGCCGCGTCCAGCTTCATCATCATGTATCTGATGCTGATTGTTCCAGCTTCGATTTCGAACGACAAGTCCTCAATCTTGCCCAGATTGCGCATTGCCCTTAATCCCACCAGTTTCCTTTATGTCTGCTTTTGAATGCTTGTTGTTTCCATTGCCATGATCCAACTCCATAACTTCAAATTTTTGTCAGGAGTTTGGATACATGCTTATAATCACCCTACTAAATGTAAAACAAAAGGAAATCCTATAGGTTAGTCATTTTCATTTAGAGTTTAGAAAATTTTCAAAGCTGGAGAATCTGTTTCGACATTTCAAGAGCTTCATCCTCGGGTAAATTTTCAATTGGGAGAAACATATAATTCTTACGATGCATACTATTCTGTTGAATTAAATCAACAAAATTTATAATTTCATTAATCGCATTCAACAAATCAAATTCAATTTGGAAAAATCTAAATCTGCCTGACATTAAATTCATTGAACTTTTTATAGCATTTTCTTCACCAGTTCTATTATAAACATAAACAAATTTAATTTTTTCCCAATATATTGCATTCTTTCATTTCTCCAAAACAATTTCTTGAAACAAATAAACCAATAAAAAACAAAAATCTTACTTTGTAATACTGAAAACCCTGCGCTGAAATCAAAGTCGACGCCCGCCATCCTTTCATCTGTTTTCGAATTAAGTATCAAAATTCAAATGTATTATCCGATTAAAAGGATGAAAAATCTATGGATTAACAACAAAATATTTTATACGGAATTTCAGAAATGATAAACATAGAAATACCTGAAATAGAAACGGCCAATTGAGGGTCAAAAATATTTGAGATTTTTTTTTCGTGTATAATTTTTTGAAAAATAATTTTAAAAAAATACAGAGATATATTAAGATTGACGTATATGATTTGCTATTTATAGAACAAGTTTAAAGGCCTAATTCTATATAACGACTCCTAAACTTTACAAAATTGATAAGTTGGTCATTATACTTTAATTTATCATAATTTGGTTCTTGTATTATAAAAAATGATGAAGTTAATCCATTTAGCATTTTATGAATTATATACAATAAATTTGTAAATATAACTATATAAGCAGTTCAAGTTAATGTATTTATCATCAACTAAACTAATTTTTCAATTCTCGTGAAGTAAAATGATCAATTTTGAAAAATTAAAGAATATGGACGAACTTCTTCATTTTCATAAATTACAGGTATGAAACTCAAAATCAAACCTTATTTTCATAATAGACCTTAATATTAATTGATTAATAAAATAAAGAGAGATCAAATCAAGAAAAATATATTATATTATATATATATATTTAAAAGATATTTAATAATTTTTTAAATAGCTTAAAATGATTATAGTGTAATTTCTATTCAGTATCTTTTTAACAATTGATAACATATATATCATGTAAATATAATTGTCCCAACTCAAACGAATATTAAAAAAAATATCTTATTTTTACAGCCGAATTAAATGATTCATTAATAATAAAAAATTAAAATGAACGTAAACAGTCGTTTTATAAAAAAATAAATTTTAATTTTAATTTTAATTTTAATTTATTATCACGTAAAGAGAATAAAAACAGCAAAGAATTGCGTGCTTTGATGTGTCAAACCTAAAATCTCGTTCTTTTATTGTATATCAAAAGTCGAAAGCCTCGCGTTACAGTCCAAAGAGCGATGGAAAAAGTGAAGAAAATGCTGTTAACTCTCGTGGAGACGACGGAAACCGCATGATTTGGAAGGTTGATGCTCGTTGATCCGCTTGTTGGGCCAAAGGCGGTGCTCGTGCTAGTCGAAATCCAGGTCGTCGGAGTTGTGCCGGTGCCAGGACCAGTGTCATTGCCAGTGCTACTGGGAAAAAGAAAGAAACAGCAGAAAAAATGAAATATCAGATGGTTTAATCGTTGCAACAAAGAGCTGCCATGGATCGTGGGTTACAAGCAAGTTTCCAGATCCGCCACTGCACCTCAAAATAATCATTACATGAAACTTTTTTAAATCTAATAACCATACGCACCTTAATGGATAGGTGCAAGTAGAAGCAATATCCGCAAAAAAAAAAAATCACTAACAAAACAATGATTGGGAAATGGGAAGAAAAAGATAGCATGGGTGAAAGAAAGGGAAGGGAATTAACTGGTAGGAGGATTTGGACTCACTGTAGCAGCTCCAACAAAATCACAGCTTCCTGTAACTTGACCACTGTTCTGGAAATAGCTATTCACAGCATAATTGCAGTGATCTTTAACCAGTGGCGGATGCACTAAGCCCTCATAGGCCTGGTGCATTTCATTACTTTTAAAAAAATGGTTAAATTTAGTTTAATGTGTAAAAAAAATATAATTTTTGTATACCCATTAATTTTAAGAAAATAAAACTAAAATTTTAGATTCCAATTTTTAAATTTTTAGGTCTGTCACTGTCTTTAACCGTGTTGGGATTATAGCATCCACCATTTTGGAGAATTGCAGAACAATCAGCTCCGTTCCCACACGCATAATCCAGGGCCTTTTGAAGAGCTTGGTCACTCACTCCATCTTTACATGAACAATAAGTAGCACGCTAAAAAAGAATGATAAGCGATAAACAAAGGAAATTAATCACCCATCTTATAGCACAAAGAACATTACATATAATCTCAACTTGAAGAAGAAAGGGAAAAAAATCAAGCAACTTACTTGAATGGCCAGTCGACCAAGAAAAGCAATAGGCAAATCAAAGGAACCATGGTTGAACGGGGAATCAAATAGAAAAGAAAATGAGATGAAGATCTGTAGATGACAGAATAAGAAAGAAAGGATGATGGAGTGGGTAGCGACAGATGAGATCCAAGGCTTCTTTATTACAGCAAATGTCTCAGACAATACCTTAGGGACAATGCCTTAGGTCTCTTTTGTTACATGAGTCAGTGCTGTGCCTGCGGCTGTTACATTGTGTGTGGCCAAAGGGAAAAACAAACACCTTGGTTATGGGAATGGAATCATTATTGTTTGCGAAAGGGACATGAAAACATACATTTTGGTCGTATTATTTTACTCTATGTTTATTAAATACATTAACTCGGTGTATTTCGTATTCTAAATTACATTTTTGAGCTCAGCCGACCTACCATACAAGCATACAGCTGTAAGGACAAATTTTTAACTCCAACTGGCACGATTATGCTTGTGATCTGTCTTGCTTAATCATGCGTCTAGTAGACATATAATTTTATCTGATTTTGTTTCTATTCGTCAGATTTATGATTGACTTGCTTTCGGTCAATTAGTCCAAAACTCCAGTCTTAAATTGATTTGGGGTTTTGTTTATGATGATGTTTCAGCAACTATACATCCATTTCAATGAGCATCATGTACACTTTGTCCGACTCTTTCATTCCAAACTCAGTTGTCTATGCAACATATATAATATCAGCCTAGCTAATAATATGGTTAATATGTAAGAGTTGTGTTACTCAATTTTTCTTTTAGAAAAATAGTTAGTTAATTAATTTTTTTGTCATCAAGAGAAGAAAAGTATGTTTTGATCATTTAGGTTATTAATTTATAACGTTATGGTCATTGTGACATTTAATGACGTTAGTTTGATAACGTCACATTACTAAATTGAGTTAATTTTTAAATTGACTCTTGAACTTTAGGTAATATATCAATTTGTCCTATGAAGCTAGCCAAAATTTCTCGTTCTCGATTGTCATTCGTCACCGTCATCGGTCATTGTCAACCACCATCAGTTATTATTGCCGACGATTCATATTCATTAGATATTAGATTCTTATTCAGGAGGCCAAAAAAAAATCAATTGAAAATTTTGAGATCCAACGGTCATCGTCGAGGCCAATGATGAGCTATGGATAACAACCAAAGACTTGGGTTAGATTTAGGTGTTAAATTAATCAATTTTTTTATATAAAGTTGATGAAGAGTTAATTTGAGATATTTGAATCTCAAATCCAAATTAAATTATTTAACTCTAATTTGAAAGTTTGTACAACCAAAACTAATTGTAATTATTATGACTCTCAATGGAAATCAAGTCAAGTCCAACTAAGAAATTTGGTCTTATTTTTCCCATTTCAAAATCAGCCCATCTTCTCCATTAAATTCCTTAGGATGCAGGACCTAGAGCAGCCTTCTGAAATGTTGGAATAAAAAATAATAATTAACCAACAACACGTAAAGTCATCTATAAGTCAATTGAGATAAATCTTGGAGAAAAATGTTATATTGCATTTAAATCAGGGAAGAGATGGGTGCTGGCTGGTAACTGATCTTACTCTCTTTTGTTCTTCCATATTTGCTTTTATCAGGGAATACGCCCCGACTCCGGCGATTGCTACTGCAGTTCCGATCCCAGTTTGGGTGGATATTCTATTGCCTGCAACAATGCCATTTTTTTATAATGATCATCAGTAAATAATTGAATCATATCTTTTGACATCACATACCATAAACAATTGAGTGTAATCTTGTTGGAAAAATACTCATACTGAACACTCGTCCGAATTCAAGTAACATTAGCTGCTGCATGAACAAAAGGTACGTGGGAGAAAAAAAAACAGGGAAAACTTACCGAAAACGACGATAGAGAAGCCGATGACAAAAACTCTCTTCAAAACGTTTCCGACTGCATGTGTAAGTGGTGCAACCCTTTCCAAGGTATTAGTAGCCAGCTGCAATGCGTTAGTTCAGTAAGTGAACCTTGAATTCTGATGCAACTACTCTAAAAAGATGACATTCAACAAATCTACAATTCAAATCTACAGTACGAAAGAACGAAACCCGAAACTTAATCGGTTCGTCCACAGATGACATTCAAGAAACTCACTGTTTCTGAATTCATATATTTCACATACTGCAAGTTTTTGTTTATGCAATACATACCTGATTGTAGAGGTGATAAAACATTCCAATCCAAAATAAGTCAGACATTAACTTGGTTAAGCCAACTTTGGCAATAGCATCTCTGAAACCATATTGCATCAGTTGAGGACCCTCAATCTGGATTCAAATCACCTCCATATTAGCAAATCATTAGTTATAAATAGTTTAATCAAAGTGAAGAAGCATGGTGATTTACTTACAAAAATTGCAGGTGGTAGACAGAACAAGAGGGCAATGATAGAAATATATGCATAAACATTTGTGCTATCCATGCCTGTCTGTCAAATATAAAGGCAGAGATATGTCAATCAGAGCGAATGCGGATGCACATTCGATACAAATACAAATTTGTGTATAAAAGGTGAAGTGAAAGATCCTTGTCTTACCATTGCTTTCTTCGAGTATATGCTTCTGTAAGTAAATGCAATGTTTGAAATCATTGCACTGATAAAACCAGTCCAATTGAAGGAAAGTTCAGTGAGTGAAGCCATTGAAACACCTAAAAGTCAAGCGGAAGATAACATCAGCTGGCAAAGATTAATCAAGAGGAAAGCTGTTTTAACACGAAAAGGATAAAAAATTACCAATAACAACAGGAGCTAACGAAAGCCAAAGGGAAAGTGGAATCTGATGGCCCAAAACGAACTGAGAAGCTGCAGCATTGAAGAATGGCTCCAGTGCTGTTGAAAAAAAAAGAAAACATAAATTTAGATTGAAGCTGAAGGTTTTACAAAAGTTTGAGAACTGTTTCCATTTTCAAAGATCTTTTCACCTTTGATAGTGTGAGTGAAGGACACTGCAACAGCTGCAAAAGATACATTGGACATGACATGTCCAAGTGCATGGCAGAAAGCAACAGGAGTCAATAGAACCAAGAGCTCCTTATCAATTGGCTGGTAAAATAGGAAGAAATTATGTTTTTTTTAACAGGAAACCCATCATCTAATCTAATATTGAACAGAAAATAACAGAGAAAACTAAGCTTACTGCTCTTTTTGGTAGGCCAACACCCCAAGAAACCAGACAATAAGCCACTCCAACTACCAGATGTATAACTGAAACAAAACTGCAGAAGGGAGGAAATGAAATAACTCTTTACTACAGGTATGTTAAAATTAACTCTTAAATGTAATGGTGCATAACTTGTACATACTATGGATATGGGAAGTAATTGTAGACCTTCTTGTTGAGAATGTTGAAGATTACATTTAAAAAGTACCTGCATATATAGATCGAGATAACCGTGAAAATCGATACGAAGAACATCATTTTACCCAGAAAAACTGAAAAGAAAAAACATGGTATCAATTTAATTTGTTGAAGCATTTTATCATATTGCTTTGGGACATAGGAGGCAGGGGAAGGAGCTTAATTCATAGGAGCAAAAACTAAGATGATGGTTCATTCTTTTATGAAGAACAAGGGTAGATTTTCTAGGATAGCTTACCACATAAAAAAGAAGAAACCAGTGACTAGAGCAGGAAATCTCTCGGCAAAGCTCTTTGAAAGTTCTGCATTCCTGCAGTTTTATGTTCCAACAAGTGAGAGATTTTATCGGAACCCAAACAATAATTACAGTGGAAAAAATTAAATAATAAGTCAAGTGCCTAACCCTTCAGAAATTTCGATTTCACCGCCATCAGCAGCTGAAGCCACCGGGAACTCAACTTGGCTCCGCCGCCTCATGTTTTGGTTCCAACCAGTAAACTTGAACGGCTTGGCTGACGAAATTCCCAAAGGAACCCAGGCTTCCTTTTTGTCCCATGAAGATGTAAACGCCACACATGAGGGTCTCGAAGCTGGTGATAATCGATTCTTGAGCAAATGAAAAGTGGGCAACGCTTTGTTCATCGACAAGTAGAGATTAGTTGTTGATGCCATAGTGAAATAAAAATCCAAAAGGAAAAAAAAAACGAGATGAAAAGCAACAACTATGAATCAAAGGGTATCGAGAAAAGGTGTTATTATGGGAGTATAAACAGAGACAAACAAGTTGGAACGTTGAAAACAAGATTAAAACCGTTGAGAGAGCGGAGGAAACAAGACACAGTTTTTCATTATTGTTTATATAGATCTGAGGAGTAAGCTTATATGGAAATTGTTCATTTTGGATTAAATTAACAACACATGGAAACTCCCAAAGCTGCTGCATGTATAGTTAGCTCACATGAGTCATCAATAGTGTCATAACTATTTTTTTTTTGGTGAAACAATGATTTATTATTTTAAAAATAGTTACAACTTTTTATTTTGTAAAATGAGTGATTTTGGATTAATTTGGATAGAGTCACCATCGACCTTTGGGTTAGGTAGGTCGAATACCTAAAAACGTCTTTTAAAATAATTTTAAGAAAAATTATTTTTAAAAGACAAAATTAGTCTGCGTTACCAGAGGTTTATTTTAAAGGGTTCGAGTCGGTTACACGTGGGGAAGATTAACACCCTACAGCGCCCAAAATCGGTACTGTGTCGCTTAGACGTTGACGTACTGGTGGAATTTATGAGTCGAATATAAAGTTAAAATATGATCCATTTATCGAACATTGATTAATTTGCTTCGAATTCATTATTTAAAGAAAATCCTTTAACTCGATAAAAAATCTTAAAATTTGCAATCCTCAATCGAGAAAGCTATTTCAACTATTTTTCATTGTTAAAGGATATTCTATCGTCGAATATGTAAAAGATGCATATCGAATATAAATTATAAATTGACAGTTACGAAAAATAAAATACATAACTTGCATTGTTTGGTTGTAAAATAAAAATGAATTAACAATTAATAAACTAAAATTGATTTATTTCAAGTTTCAGTTTGTTCGAAGTGTCGGATTGTACCACTTCGATCAATTGATACTTTTCATACCCGTTCTACAAATACATTCTTGAAAATATTCGAATAAAATAAAGGAGTATATAAATAATGATGAAAAAATATTACATGCATGCTATTAAAATATATAAAGGATAACATATATCTAATGTAAATAGGATTAATAATATTTATTTAATTTATGCGTGTACTTAGTTGATGCATAAAAGGATGCATAAATATAACATGGCCATATATATATTTATTATATATTTTTATTACATAATCTAAGTAGTGTTTTATACATGCACGATATATATATATATATATATATATATATATATATATGCATAAAGAACTAAACTATATAAAAATATGTGAGAACCACTTAATAGAATCCTATGGCATTAGATCCCACTTTTGTCAAAAAAAAAATTAAACAAAGCAATGCAGAAACTTTTTACACAACAAAAATCTTGACTTGGAATTTAGATCACATGCACATTACTGTTATTTTACCGACATATATACATAAAAATGTAAGTAAAAAACAGCTAATAAATCAAGATACAAATTCCAACTAAAATACACACATACAAATATTGTAACATTAATATATTATTTATGTATAAAAATATTAACATAATTATATAAGATGCAAAACAATAGCACATAAAAAATTTAATAATACCCTTACACATATGCATATATATATAACACCAATGCAAATAAACACAACATATAATACAATCATTTCAAGCATTGAAAAAAATAAAAACGAAACAGTGAGAACCTAATGAGCAGTATACCCCTAAGCTTTGAACACCAGATTAAAGAGAATGACTAGAATGAAAACGAAACGCAACATAAGACTTCACAACATAAATTACTCAATTTTAAATGTTGACTAATACGAGGGACTAAAATTGATACTACATTAAATCATCAGTCAAAACTCTAAATACCCAAACATATAGGATTATAGAAATATGGGACTAAAATAAAACATTAAGAAATAAGAGGCTCAAAATCGAATAAAGTACAATTAATGACCAAAGTAAAACATTACAAAGATACGAGGACCTAAAACGTGATTTTCCCCAGAATGAAAACACGGAGGGGTGGAGCGAAACGGCACCGTTTTCACGTGGGTATTTAAACCCAATCCAAAGCTCAAAATTTTCATCTTACCCTCAATTCTCACCTTTCTGCCCGAGAGAAGAGAGAGAGAAAGAAAATTCTCTCAAGGGTTCAACTGAACCCAAATTTCAGTGGGTTCTCAACCGTGTCAACCACCGCAGTTCACCGGTGTCGGAAGAGAGAGAAAATGATGTGGCTAGGAGCACCTCTTCGCCCTGGTGATGATTCCACGCTTCGTTTGGCCTGAAAGTGGCCCCATCGCCGTAGATCTACAAAGAAACCCCTCGGTTTCTTTGGCTCCGGTGACTCTTGGACTGCTCGGTGGTCAAACTATGAGGTAAGTCTTCTTCTCTATTTATTTTCTTTGTTCTGTTGTGGTTTTCTTTTCTGGTTCTCTATTTTTCTTTTTGATTTCTCTGAATCCCCCTTGCTATTTTTTTTCCGAATCCCGTTCCCTATCTCTGAATGCTCCCCTCTGATTTATTTCTTCGTACATCACCTAATCCCACTTTTGCATGTCAATTTTCTTTGTGTTTGGTATATTAATGACGGGTTTAGGTAAGAGTTTGGTTATATTTATTTTGACTTTGGCTTGATTTGGCGGATGATTGCTTTTTTCCTAGAGAAAATGGTAGCCCCTTATTTATATTTATTTTTACAGCTTATGAAAAAGGGTCCTACTCCATGACTTTTTCATTTCTCCTTTTGTTACTCTTCCTTTGCTGCTGGAGAGTGGATTTGGAACCGGTAATCACATGAAAGCATGAGGCTGATAGGAGTAGCTGGCTTCACGTGGGTTATTGCAGTGGTTGAAATCTTAACCGGGTCGGGTAGGGTTGATCGGTTCGGATCATGTCTGGTCACTTGTAAACGGGCCGTACTTTTGGGATTTGCATCTGTTGGGCTGTGCATTGGGCTTCGAGATTGGTCTTGTAATTGGGCTGCAAAATATGTAATAAAACTAATTAATATTAATAATAATAATAGTAATAATATTAATAATAAATATTTAATATTTTTGGCCTGGACAAAAACGGGTGTTTACAATTAATATACAGGGTCATCAACAATGGAGAAAAGAGATGAGGTGTTTTGATTCACTTGTCCATTACTTCTTCAAAGATCACCGCTTACATACAAATTCAGGTAGTATGGTTTGAGTCATAAGAGAACCGATTCATCGTCTATGGGAAAACCTCTTTTCTTTTCTTTTTCGAACAAATTGTTGTCCGTCAGAAATTGTCAGAACTTTAATTACTTAAATCATAAACAGTAAAATACACAAATAATCCTTCAATTATATGGTAAGTTTTTGTTGAATTCTTCAATTATAAAGTATAAAGAATTATAAAATAATCATATTATTTTAAAAAATTAATAAAATAGTCTTTTCTTAGCTAAAATTTTAACTACAAATGATGTGATATTTAATGAATTTGGCATGAATAAATATAACCCTAATTATTTTGATTTGACCCCATTTCTAAAAATCAACCCTTAATATTTTCAGATTCTACCAATTTAGTTTTGAGAAAATAACCTCAGTGACCGAAAATGCCTTATAATATACGATTTTGACCAACTTTTTTTCGATTTGCCAAAATAACCAACAAAATCACAATGCGATCTCTAAATCGCAACGTGATCTCCAGTATCGCAAATCAGTTTCCAGATTCGCAACGCGATTTTGACTATCGCATTGCGATTTTCCAAATTCACGCTATTTTAGAAAATCGCAATGCGAATATGTAAATCGCAACGCGATTCTGACTATCGCAACGCGATAATACAAAATCGCAACGCGATTCTGACTATCGCAACACTGAATTTCAAATTCGCAATAGGTTTTAGTTTCACAACACAAATGTTTTGGGTATATAACTACACAGAAGTAATAACTCATAACATAAATCCCTAAATCGCAACTCATTCCATCTCCATCTATCACTCTCTCCGGTGACATCCGTTCTTATATCCAACGACATCCTATATCCAACGACATCCTTCCCCATCCGGCAACAAGTTTTAGTTTCGCAGGTCGTTTGTTTAGTAAATTAATTTACAATAATGAAATCATCTAATGTTGATCATGTTTGGATAGATTTGTGTTTTGGAGGGTCATGAGAGAATGTTCATGGTGTTTTACAATATATGCCATTACCCATGAATCTTCAACTAAAACTATCATTAAAAAAGTTAACTTATGAAACTCTAATGTTACGTGTTGCAAATAAATTGAATTTAGAGCCCCTAAGTGGATTTAGGCTATTTTATCAGAGAAAAGGTAAAGTTTATTTGTTAACCGATAATGAAGATGTTGAACGATTCATTGCTTACATTAGTGTTTCGCAAGATGATGTTACATTGTATGTTGTTGAACCTAGAAGTAGTGAAGTTGGGTCAGTAGCAGGTAGTAATCAACTAAGTTTTTCAACCCCAGTTTATGGTGCTCAAAATTTAATGGTTCCGCCACAATTTCATCACCAAGAAAATTTTGTTTCACCACATTTCTAACACCAAACACAATCTCAAAACCCACAACCTTTCCCTAGTCCAAATCCCAATCAACTTTCAGTACCAAATTTCGGTTTTCGTATTGACCAGTTAGACAATGATGAGCCAACAGAAAAAATTGTGAGTATTAGTTAGTATTCGAAATTTGATCTTGGTCAATACCCGGACTTTGATCTTGGTCAATACTCGGATTTTGATGATGTTTCAGAAGAAGAAACAGACCCTGCGTGTAATGATTTTGATATTGGTCAATACCCGAATTTTGATGATGAAACAGCCGCTGCCGAGGAAGATATTGTTGATGATAATGAGGAGGAAGTTATGACTATGAATGAACATGTTGAAAATCCATTCTGTAATTCATATAACCCTGAAGAAGAAAAAGAAGAAGAAGAAATCCCCGAAGAAAATGCCACGGGAGTATAACTGGAATATGCCAGAATTACTTCAGATACCGGAAGAAGAGTTGGTAAAGATAGCAGTTGATTGTTACACAAAAATTATTCGTATCAAGAAAGATGATTGTTTTGATACAAAGGAAGACTTGAAGATAGCTTTGTATACGAAATGTGTGGAAGATGGCTATCAACTAAAAGTTAACAAATCAAGCAAAGATCGTTTCGAAACA